TGAAGCCTGCCTTCTCAGTGATCCTTTTTCCTCCCAGAATGTTAGTCTTTAACAAATCCTGAACTACTAACACCTGCATAGCATGCATATGTATATGGATCCAGTATGCATGCTGATTAAACTTCCAGGCTCTGCCTCTGTCCTAGCACTATCTTCTCTCTACATCAAGTAAAACAAAGAAAATATTCTTGCACTTACACATGCATGCTAACTTCACAGTTATATTTACACTTATGATAGCAATCCCAAGAACTTTCAACCAAAATCCAAGTTTTGAAAGAAGTGTCAGAACTGTACAAAAGAGCTCTTGTTTACAAGACAGAAACAACTAATTTGTCTATAATTAACAAAAGCATCTGGTCATGTATTTGCATATGAGTTCTAACGTACTGCTTCATTTTAAACTTAGCTTTAGAAGTTAAACAACTTTCCTGCTGGTCTACAAACAATCTTATCATCCTTCCAAGTAAAGCAGCACAGTGCCAGAAAAGACAGATACTACTCAAGGCTTATTAATCCAGTGACAGAGGGCAAAAATGGAACTTGAACATATAACACAGTAGTTGGACTCAGCCAGACTGTGTCTTGGTATTTCTCCAAGAAATTCAACATCCACTCTTACAAGCATCAGTGTACAGAAAGACAATCAGACTGATTGCACTGCAATCAGACCTTCCAGAGTTATTTAAGTGCATCTTTAGAAGATACTTAGTCACAGTGCCTAGAAAACAAAGCTGTCAACAAGCACAGCTTTAGTAGCACTTCAGCTTCCCCTTAACAAGAGAAGACAGGAGGTGAAGACGAGCATATTTAGTAGTAAAATTGTCAGTTATACTGGTGTTTGATTTAAAAAAAAAAAATAATAATTTAGAGAGTAATTCTTCTAAGCACCAAAGTCCAAAAAGTCCACCAAATCCACTTTGTATTGTGGAAAAATTTTTCAGGTCACATTTAGTTAAAAATAATTCTAACACACATTCTAACAGGCTCATGTTTCAACAAAAATTTCATTTCCTTAAATGAAGAAAAAAGTGCAGTGCATTACTCAGAAGTAGCTTACCAGCCAACCAATACCTGTGTGACACTTGAGAAGTTTTATCCATCCAAACACAGCAATTGCCTCAATCTAGAACCGACATTATCAGAACAGTGAAGTGTGGTTTACCCCAGTGCTGTAGTGTGAGAAGGAGATAAGGAAATCTCAGCACAGCAACAAGAGTGTACACCACCAGTGGCAGCATGTCAAAGGTCTCTTATCAGCAGTACAAGCGATAGAATGGCACCGATTTCACCTTAGCCCGTTACTAAATGCAGAACATGCAGAAATTAATTTATATACTACACAGTGGCTAGATTCTAGCCCTTGCCAACAGAAAGCCTTTTGCATCCTGACCATATGGAATCCATTAGTATTCATGGCTTTATGTGTCTTGTACCCACCTCTTGCTATCTGGCCAAAGGTCACCATCAGTTTATCAGTCAGCACATTCACCCTACAGACACCTGTACTTCTAACAGCTTGCACCTAGAAGAGAAGCAAGCCACATGAAGTGCCTTTGCTAACTGGTGTAGTTCAGCAGGAATATGTGAGCTTCTACTCACTATACAGAAGAGCACGTGCAGGCAGCACATCCACTTCTGGCACCCTCCAGTCTTAAGAGTTGCATTAGAGGTCTATAAACTACAAGATACAGCTGTGCCATATTTCCATGGCACACCTCAGTTAAAAGCTGCATCACTGGACAATTCCAGCCAGAATTCATAGAACCATCTGTCCTACCTCAGTTCAACTCTTTCTCCACAGGATAAACAGGACAAAATCCCATCTTTTGTCAGTGGAAAAGATGAACAGTTGAGATGTTCATACCTACACAGGAGTTCTGAAAAACATGAGGTGTCTGATTCCAATGCTATGATCAGTTATGCCTGAAACAGCATCATCTCAAGTCAGGAGGTGCTACTACAGTTCAAGCAGCACCTTGCTGAGCCTCAGAGTACTCAACTGTACCAATTCACTGTAGCAGAAGGGTCACAGTCTGAATAAGATTAGTTATCCATCTAGTGCTGTTCTACACTTTCCTCACCCAAAAGGATCCAAGCCTTTACTTCCTTCCCTGCAAGAGTATCAATTCCAAGAAAGAATGCAAAACAGACCAACTCTATTTAGCCGAGAAATTAAAGTTTACCATCCAGAAAAGACAAAGCCTAAGCTCATTTCCACTCTGTAAAATGCACAAATGCATTTGTACGTTTTATGTGTGATAATTAAGCTTAAAAACAGACAGCACTAAGGGATTCTCACGGAAGGCGGATGTGCAAGTTGGCCTGTTCTCATATAAGGAAGGAACAGAATCCAGGTGCCCCATTTCTGGGTGAGGCTTTTCCAAATAAAAGCAGTTATAAAAAAAAAAATTATAAAGAAAAGGAATAAGATAGGAGGGCAAGGGACAAATATTTAGTCAACTTCCTCTTAAATTTTATCTAAGAACAGAAAACAGACCAGGATTCCTAGTGGTAGAGCCCAGTGATGGAACAATATAGGACTTGGAGCCTACTCTCCACATAAAACTTTCATCCTAAGCCAAGAGTTTGTCCTGTTTCATCACCAAGGCTAACTTTTAGGTACCCTAGACTTTTGCTAGATCCGACTTCCTGCATGTTTGAACACCAAGTAATATGACCAAGGATAGATTAAGATGGAAGAATTACATTGAAAGTAGAATCACACAATCATTATGGTAGGAAAAGACCTCTCAGATCACCTACTCCAATTACCTACCAGTCCCCACCATGCCCACTAATCATGTCCCTCAGTGCCACATCTACATATTGCTTGAATACCAACCAGGGAAAGTGACTCCACCACCTCCGTGGGCAGCCTGTGCCACTGCCTCACCACTCCTGAGGACAAGTTCTTTCTAGTAACCAACCTGAACCTGCCCTGCAAGGGAGCAGGGAAAGCTATCACACAGAACACTACACCATGCAAATCAGAACATTACAGCTAGAGGCCTCTAACTTACTATCCTTCATGAAAAGCAGCATACTTCTGTCAATGGATTAGAAAACGTTTCACACCAAGCAGTCCTTCGAAAAGCTCTGGATTTTTGTATTTTTGCTAAAAAAAATGAACACAGAAAAAACGTTAGCATGAAACGACCATTTTTTTCCTCTTCTCAGATACTGTTACAACTCCTTGTCAGTCCGCTGCTCAGATCAGTAATGTATCAAAAGGGATGACACTGAAAAGTGTTTTAAGAATACCCGAGGACAGACAATGAGCTGAAGTAAGACAGGCAGATGACCACTGAATGCACAGTCCACATATGGTAACGGATGAGAAATGCTACGACACTACTGCCACAGTTTATTCCCTCACAAAAATCAGGTGGCTCTACATTGTAAAGTAGCACCGTGTTTGTTTTCACCTGTACTTTCCTGCAGTGCTCATCACCTTCTGAACAATTCACAGCAGTGCCTCACAAATGGATTGGCAAGCACTCCAGGAAGTGCCACAGTTGAAGAAAAAGTCCTTCCATGCACGAAGTTGCCACTAAGTGCCAGCCATAAAGGGAAAAAAAAAGCAAAAACAATCACCAACAAATGGTTCCACTAATTCTAAGACAATTATCAATGCATACCATCCAACACGACCTACTTAACAGGTTCTACGCATCACAAACAATACACCCTATGAGTAGATGGCACTCAGCACATTCAAAGAGATAACCCATGTGCAAGCAAAGTGGTTTTTCCAGGCAGCATGCAACATCTACACTGCAAAGTAAAGTGTTCCTCATATATCATCAAACAAGTCCACAACTTCATTTAGCACAACTTGCCAACAAAGCAGACCTCTGTATGGACAAACCAACCAACAGAGCATCCGAGTTGGCGGTGTAGTGGGGAAAGCTACAAGCTCTGTACATCAACACTTCTGCAGGTCTTCCCAAGTTAAAACTCACCATCAGCACATCATTTCTCTCCAGCGGAGAAGCTGCTGCAAAGGAAATGCTTCTCTTTCCATGTGGCCCTTCTCCAGCACCTTCTGCTGAAAGTATGAGGACTGAAAGCATCATTATCTCTATTGTTAACACAATCAAAAACATAGAGACTCTAACAAACCCTCTGTGAGTGTGACAGAGCACTGAAACAGGCTGCCCAGAGAGGTTGTGGAGTCTCCTCTACAGACATCCAAGACCTGCCTGGACAATTCCCTGCGAAACCCTGTAGCGAACCCGCTTTAACAGGGGGTTGGACTGGATGATCTCCAGAGGTCCTTTCCCCTACCTATACGGTTGGACACGAACACAAAACGCAAAAAGGAGATGCCTGTGTCACCCACTCAGGCCTGGGCTGAAAGCGCACACACTGATCATGAGACTGACCGCCTTGTGTCAGAGGAGCAGGTGACAGCGTGCTGCTCTGTGTGGCAGCCCTGCTGATGGGGAGCCTTGCCACAGGCTGCCTTAACACTCCACATCTTCAGCCCATGAGATGGAAGCACTGCACGTTTTCTTTCACAGACTCAGCTCCTTCTTTGCTGAAGGTCACGTCACATTTCACTTCAACAGAGGGCAAGCTGATGCCTTAACGAGTCCAGATGAAGATGACTACAGGCGGAAGAGCGATGTACCGCTGCTAGAGATACCCGCAGAAAGCATCCCTAAGCCCAGAGCGCACTCACGAGCAGCAGCAGCACACACACACACCCCCCTCACCCGGCGGCGGCCCGCCCGGCCCCTGCGCGCCCGGAGGCTCTGCGGTGCAGCCCGGCATCGCCCTGACAGCGCCCGCTGCAACAGGAAGTGCGGGCGCCACGCACCGCCGCACCACAACGCGCTCCGGGCACCTCGCGGGGCACTTCGCGGGACCGCCGGGCCCCACGTTCACGGCTGGGGCTGCAGCCCGCGGGAGCCCGCGGGGCCGCATCCCCCCCCGCGTCCCGCATGCTCTGCCGGGTGCCGGTAGGGCTCGGCCCCCCTCGGCCCGCTCCTTACCTGCCCGGTGATGCCGGTGATGAGAGCCACCTTCTTGTCGCCCATCTCCCCGCCGCCGTCGTCGTCTCCCGGGGCCGCGGCTCCGGCACACGCTCCCGCCGCTGGCTGCGCCACGCTGCCGGCGGGGAAGGCGGCGGTCCAGGTGCGGAGGTAGCTCGGGGCGGAGGCGCGACCGCCGCCGCCCGAGGGCAGGGCCAGGGCGCCGGGGGCGGGCACCGAGATGAGGACGGCCGCCGCCCCGAGCGCGGCTCGCACATGGGTTGCCGGCAGCCGGCGGCTACCTCTGCCCCGGGGGCATCGCCCCGCCCGCCGCTCCCGGCGCAGCCGTCCCGCCCTGAGGCGGCCGCAGGTGCGGCCCCAGCGCCGCCGCCGGCTCGGCCCCCGCCCGCGCGCGCGCTAACGGGGGGAACTGCAGGCGCGCGCCCCGTTTTTTCCCACCCCTCCCCTCGCCTCGCCCCGCCCGGCTCCGCTCTGCAGCCAATCGGGAGCCTCGGCGCTTCCTTAAAGGGTTAGGAGACGCCGGAGCGCCGCGGCCGAAGGAGAGTGCAGCGATTGGTTGAGAGCGGGCGAAGGGGCGTGGCTTGCGTAGCTGCCGCCGCGGAGAAGCCGAGTCTCCGACTTCCTGACCGCGTGTCGCCAGGGGGCGGCGCCACGTGAGAGCGACGAGCGCGCCGCAGCCCCGCCCCCGTGCGGGGCCGAAACAGCGACCCCTGCGGCGCGGAGGAGCTGGAGGACAGCGAGGGATTTAAGCCTTGCATTGCTTTTGCCAGCCGCTTCGCTCCTGAGGAGCGCGGCTTGACCGAGCGGCCCGCGGGTGAGATACTGAATAAGTGTCCTCTTTCATTGATGCATTAATTTTTTTGTATCTAAAAACTAACAAACAAGATAAAAAAGAGGCCTGGCTGTGTTTCTACATGAATCCCCAAAGTCTGTCAACCCAGGGTTTCCTTCTTACATGATTGCATTGCAGGACCTTTACATATCCAAACTGTGTTCTTATTTTACTCTTCTGCTATAGCTCATTGCAGGGCATGGCCAGCAATTACTCAGTGTCTCTGAAAGCCCATAAGATATATTAATCAGAACATGAGAAAGAGTTTGGGGGTATCATGCCTTTCAGCTTGAATCGTACTCTGCAATCCTTAAGGTTTATCTGCACGCTATCCCCACACGCTCCCAGTTTAAATCTTGCTGTTACAGTCTCCAGTGGTGATGTAGGAGGATTGCAGTCACTGCACTAGCTTGCGTTGCCCTGATTACTCAGCTGCAAGATTTCATCCCATTGCATTGTTTCAGAACGTTGCTGAAACGTTCTGGATGTTGGGTGAAGCGAGAGCTAACTGTTTAAAATTATTTTTCAGATCTAATATAGAGTTACAGCATATCTTGAGCTGGAAGGAACCCACAAGGATCGAGTCCAACTCTTGGCTCCACACAGGGCCATGCAAAAATGAGTGATAACACATACCATGTCTATTGTGTCTTTGCTATTCTTGGAATTGAGAATGACATTTTTAGCAACTCAACATTAACACCATTACTATAGCACCAGGGCTTGTCATTAGAAACCCTTCACTTCATCTGATGCATTTGCTGCTGTTCTTACCTGCGTGTATCTGATAAGGAGAATTGGCAGCCTCCATCTCTGTGTAAGAGCAGAAAGTGCAGCAGGAGCTCGCTGCTTCAAGTGATGTTCAGACCAGATGAGACTTAAGTATGTCAGAATATGTCTTTGTGAAATAGGACAGCATCGATCTGCAGGCTTGGGGAATAGTGGCTGGCAAGACTGTGTGTAGAAATAGGATCTGAGGGTGTTGGTAACGCTCAGCTGAACATAAGCCATCAGGTAGCCAAGAAGGCCCATGGCATCCTGGCTTGCATCAAAAATAGCATTGCCAGCTGGAGCAGGGAGGTGGTCATCCACTTTACTCAGGCGTGATGAGACCACACCTTGAGTACTGTGTTCAGTTTTGGGCCCCTCACTACAGGAAAAACATCAAGGCTGTGGAGCATGTCCAAAGAAGGGTAATGAAGGTGGTGAGAGGTCTGGAGCACAAGTGTTATGGGGAGCAGCTGAGGGACCTGCAATTAGTTAGTCCAGAGAAGAGGATGCTCAGGGGAGACCTTATCACTCTCTACGACTGCCTGAAGGGAGGTTGTACTGAGGTAGAGTTGGCTCTTCTCCCATGTAAGTGTGATTGGATGAAAGGTAATACCTTCAGGCTGCATAAGGGGAGGTTCAGATTGGACATGAAGAAGAAAAAAACTTCTCAGAAAGAGTGGTGAGGCAGTGGCACAGGCTGCCCAGAGGAGGTGGAGTCACCGTCCCCGGAGGTGTTCAAGGAACACGTGCATATGGCACTGAGGGACATGGTTAGTGGGCATGGTGGGAATGGGTTGGACACTGGACTAGATATCTTAGAGGTCTTTTCCAACCTTAATGATTCCATGATTCTGCAATTAAGAAAGAGGAGAGACTAAAGGAAAATATTATCAAAGCTACGGAGAGAATTCTGCAATAAACCAAAAATCAGGCAGTTGTCTCTTATACTCACTACGCTAGCTGTTCTCAGGGGTCCTCATTTCTGTGCAGAACAAGAATTTTCCCAGACACAGGCAGTTTTATAAAGTTGGCAACATTGTCTTCTACTTCTTCAAACTGATTTCATTCCACTAATGATTGCTGAATATGGGTATATAATTACAGATTTGAAAGACAAGAAACACTACCAATAGTAGAAATTATGCCCTCTTAGCTTTAAGATGACATTGAATACATAAAAAGACATAAAATTCCAAGAGCCATAGAACTCCTTATGCTAGAAGTAAGGCACAAAACTTGTTTTTATTTAGCAATTTAGGATTTGACATTGGAGAAAATTGGAAGCAAGTTTTCTTTTTTAAATAGATAATTCCATCTCCTCCTAGATCAGAACTTTGTAAAGCAGAGCATGAGCTACATTCAAAAATGTCCTTTTTACGGCAAGAAAAGTCCATCATTTTTATCTTTTGTTGGCAGTCTGTTAAATGCACTCCAAAGCAAAGCTGGTCTTCTTTCTGTATGCTTTCTGTATGCTTCTCAACAAATCAGTGAGAGGTGCTGACAGTGCAGGGCCTGAAGCTGGGCTAGGTCAGGATCTCCCATCGCTCAGCTTTCATGTGCATTTGAGAGGCTTTTTTTGGTCACTCTCCAAACAGAATTTTGTCTACCCCTGTTTGTCCAAGAACCCACAAGACCTGTTTTTCAAATGTGGCATTTTTCTTGACTTAATCTCCAAAGCACTCCACCAAAGGAGGGAGCCTGCTCACACCTTTCATAACTCAGATGATTAATCAATTACACTGGTTGAAAGATTACCTTGAGCCATATCTGTACTCTTAGGTGACAAGTACTCTGGGCTCTTCCTCTGCTGCACTTGCACTCCTCACAGAGTGAGGAGATTCAGGATGAAATATGCCAATTTGCATTACTTTTGTAAGGAGAGCATCTCAGTCAGACTGTGCCGAGATCACTTTTGCAGGGTTTATACTGGTATTTTTAGTCAATACTAATACTAGTGTATGGGAACTGCTGAGTCACGGCCTGAACCTCTGATTAATCACCTGAGGTGAGCCTTGAGTCAGCCAGAGGAGCACAGGTGAAGGCAATTCACCTGTGCTGCCAGAAGGGGTGGAGCCAGGCTGCACCCCTCCTGGACCTATTTGAGAGCTGGCTACCAGAGGGGAAGGATCTCTTCTGGAGATCCTCCTCTTATAGTATCTTCTAGTGAGCTCAACCCAAGGGTAAGCTCTTCTACTTATTCTCTTTTGTGATCCTTGTTTGCTTTTGCCTTACTCTTTTGATTATATTGCAATTATAACATCTTGGTTATACAACTAGAAACAGGCAGATGAAGCCAGACAGGATGTAGCCTAGTTCAGGTTCCAGCTGACTGAAGCAAAAAAAAAGTCTTGAACCTGTTTAAATTTCCGTTCCATTTATAAGTCTGGCACTGGTAGTTACAGATACCGTTAGCCAGCTACCATAATCCTTCTAAATCTGCCCCTGGCATGCACTGCAGCACATTCCAGGTTAAATGCACAAAGACTGTTCTGTCACCAAAGCCTTCCAAGGTACATTTACAGATGAGACTGAAGGCTCGATTGTAGCACAAGTACTAGGTTTTACCTAAGTTGCTCTGGTGTTGACAGCAGTTCATGACAGACTGCAATGTTTTTTAGGATAGGCTGAAAACTGGACTACCCCAGGGATCTGGGGGTTAATACGTACTCTGGGCACTAGCCTGCACTTATGCCTTTCTTGCTGCCTCCAGCACCTGTACCATTATGTGTGCTACCTAACTTAAAGCTATGTCTGCTGACACCATAATCACTTTTTCATGTGTCTGTGTAGACCTGACTCTGGCTGCTAAAACTGGCAAAGCCTTCACTGAAGAGGAGACAGCAGATAGACACACACATGCACCCTCAGCCCCCTTGAATCCCTGTAAGAGAAGAAGAAGCTTGCAACTAGTAAATGTTTTAAGACGAGTGAATAAACTGACAAGACCTAAAGCAACAAAAAATGAGTAGCGTGTGCCATAGCCTGTATTATGTTAATGTGAGCACTGCCACCTCAGGAACTGGTGAGAAAGAGGTATAGAACAGATGCGGTGAGATTTGCTTTTTGGTGGTGGATAAAAATATATATCATGTGGAAAGAGGGATGGAGAGCACTGCTGATTGATGCCAAACTGGCCAAACTAGGGAATAATGGAAATGAGCAAAAAGGGAACAGAGGGAAAAGTAAAGAGAAAATAAATCTTGCTGAGAGTAAGGAAGGAAGGAATAATAGGAGGAAAAGGCTGAAGTGTATTAGATTGCAAAAAAGCTACCATATTAAGCACTAAGGAAAAGGGAAAAGGAAGGAGAACATATACAAACTGCTTGAATACCGCCTGCATTGCAATCCTGAGGACCTCAGTGTTTGTATGGGGTTTTGGCCATATTGCTGACTGGGATTTGAAAAGGTAGTTATTTGAGGTTTCAGAATGTTGTATGAACCCCTTGTTAATACTTACAGAGATGAAGTAATCTTGCTTTACCTCTAGAAGTAGAAACTGACAATTTAAAACAATCTTTTTTCTCACTGTGGAACAATAGCATCCCTAGTACTATATCATTAATAGTGTCATTCATAATAGACATGCCTTCTCTGCATTGCTTAGGCATATTTCGCTGTGATGAAAGTTGATGTTATTAGCATATCCTGCTCTGTACAGGAGTTACAAATTGCTGGTGGACCAAGTGCAGTTCTCATCCTCTGTATTGCTCTATAGCAGAGGGAAAAACTGGTGACTTGCCTCTTTCTGAGGCTCCTCTGAATTATCTACTTCAGACAGTTTAAGCAACTTCTACGTCAGTGAACTCTGTCAAGCAAGAGCTCTGGTTCTTTGCTTATCTTCAATTTCAGTTGCCTGCCTACTGCTAACAAATACTTTGGATCCTGTCCGTGGCAAGGAAGTGACATCAAGGTGTTGTTCATATCCCATTGGGGATGGTTCAGGGAGCCAGCAGTGTACAAAGCAATACACGCAAGAGCTCTCTTCTTCTTGAGGAGCTTTTAGTTCATACCAGCAGGCAACTAAGGGAGGTGTAGTAGGCCTAGAAGAAAGTGATATGCTAAGGGTTTGCTTCTCTTTTTCTACTTTGCTATTTTAATTTAACAGTGGGAAGCAATAGTGTGCTTCACAAATCTGGGGAGATCTGGAAAGGAGTGTGAAAGATGAGATGGTAGAGAGTCCAGGAGAGATCCAGCATGATATGAAAGGAGCTGCAGGTGTTATAGAGTAGCAAGTCACGGGGGAAAGAAGGGCAGATCTCATTTGAAGTGAAAAGAAATGGAGAGTGGGAATTTAAGGGAAGTCAGTTTCCATATTTATTTTTTGAACAGTTGACTTGAATATCTGAGGGCACGTGTAGTGACCCATGTTCTCAGTGCTCTGACATATGAATGGCAGGCAGAGCAGAAACATGAGGACCTGGGAGATCTTTCTTAGTTGTAAGCCTTGGAGCCAACACTTGGAGATAAGGCCTTACAGGGAGTAAATTTGAACCCATGATTTTGATCCCTGTTAAGGCTATTTCAAATAACTGTTCTTAGAACAAGGACATCATAAACTGTTTCTCTGGAAAGCTGTTGAAACACAGTTACAGGGGTTCTCTTCTTTCTCCTGGCCTTACACAAATACAGGCCAATATACACACAAATCCCTGCATAAATCTTGTCCAAAAGACTTCTAATCAGGAAAGAAAACAACAATGTTGTACTTCTCACACTATAAAAAAGACCACCTTGGGAAAAGAACAATGCAGCCATAGAGTGGTGTGGTGTCTGTTAAGAAAATTCACATAAAGCAAGCATTAACTATTCAAAGAATTAACTGCAATGAGGCAGTTAAGTGAGTGTGCCTCGTCACTGAACTCAGTGCCATAACAGGAGCAGAGTAAGAAGCAGGTTGTAAAAAATCAGGTAGGGAAATTATATAATCACTTCACTGTCCCCTGGTCTGGATTATTCTCTTAGAAGATTGGTCAAAATGTCAGTGGTTGCTTTTACGAGTTGTCTCTGCAGTCACAGAACAAATCAGTAGCAGAATGTAAGAGAAACCCAAGATATGGACCAGAGGGGACTCTTAACATTGCTGAAACTAAGTTTTTTGTAACAACACATGTATTTGGCTAGATATATGCTATTCACACTCTTTATATATTCCTTTACATTTATTTGTGGTGAAGTGGTAAGGTAAGAATTAATGCTGTTATTTTTAACATGCATATTTCAAGCGAGTAAAAGCACTCTCACAGGCTTGTGTGCCTGGGATAAAGCATTCTGTGACTAGTTGTGACCAAAACCAGAAGAACGATACATAAAATTACTCCTTTATTACCCCCATTACAATGCATTAACTGTTTGCTATGTGCTGACAGAGTCAGACCCCTGCAGCCTTTCTTTTGGTTTGCCACAGAAGAGTGCTGGATCCAAACCAACAAACAGAGGCACAGAATGGGGCCGGGTCAAAGAGTATCTCAGGTGTCAGTGATGGGGAAATGACAGAATTCACATTTCCTTCATATGGAAAGAGGCAACACTGCAGTAAAAGCAACAGGATTTCAGGAGGGCAGATTTAAGTTATCCAGAGGGTCATTAGGTAAGATTTCCTGGAAGATTGATCCAAGGTAAAAGGGGAAATTGAAAGAAATCACATAACTTCAAAGAAATGGTATTAAAGATGCAAGTGCAAATTCTCCAGTTGCAGAAGATAAGCAGGGAGTAAGCAATCAGATTGGTTAGGTCATTTTGATCCCATACATTAGAGGAAGTTTTGCAGGAAGCAGGAAGTATAATGGAGTACTAAAGACAGATTTTCAACAGCACACAGATACAACATCAGGAAGGCCAAGGCAGAAAATGACATGCCATTCCTAGAAACCTTGGCTACTGAAATCATTCTAACAAAGCATCAGTAATAGGAAAAGCAGGCTTAGTGAACTTGTAAACAGAAGGGGAAGCCTACTAATAGATGACACTGGAAGGTAATATACATAATGCTTTTTTTTTTTTAACCAATATTCCCTAAAAAGTGGCTTCTACAATTAAAATCAATAGCAAAGGAAATAAACTGTCCCTCAGACAGAGAAAAGATAGGTTAGAGAGCACTTCGCTTGGCTTCGCATTTTCTAATTTGTTGATTCCAAAGAACTAACTTTCATCCTGGAATACTGCAGGAACTGGGTGATCTACTCCTGTAACCATTGATGGTGGTCCTACAGAATATGTGATTTTTGGGTGAGATACTCAAAAGCAGATAAAAGCAAACATGACATACCTTGAAAAGAAGGCCAAATAATTATTAACTAGCCAATTTAACTCAGTTGTTCGGAGTTATGGAGAAATAGCCAAAAGTGACTTTGTGACAATTTGTTAGGATTGCAAAAGAAGGGGAGAAAGCACACCTGGATTTGTGAATCCATCTACAGATTTGTCAAGATCCAATTTAATTTATCTTTTTAGCTACTGAGTGGACCAGGAAGGAAAACCAGTAATTGTTGTATGTTATGTTCTCTCAATAGATGTAAAGTCTTGTTTGCTTTTGAGTACCACACCTATAATCCATTTGTTCTCAACACTGTTGACAATGACTCTTTGAAAGAGCAAAGCAAGGAAAGCAGGTCTGAAAGAATCTAATATCAAATGTGTGCAAAATCAACTGGAAAATCATACTGATACAGCAGATAAAATTAATTCACTGTCAAAACAGAAGGACAAATATTGTCAATAGTCCAGAGTCCATAGTATGTCTGACCTACACAAGACAGTGTTTTCTAAACAATCTAGAGAATGGAACTGAGATTTCCATGAAGCTGAGGGAGAGTGCAAGTAAGTTTGATGAGAAATCAAAGACTGCCAGAGATCATCTTGATAAAATAAATGAACGGTCTGTAAAGGAAGGAATAAAATGAAATGAACAGGGACAAATGCAAAATACTGCAATTGTGGGGAACCTTACCACGTTCAAAAAAAGAAGATAGGGATCATTTTTATTGAAAGGAGTTTAAAGCTTGTAATGTAATCATTAACAGCCCATTGTTGTTAAAATGGGTAAGCACAACATAGATACATGTATGCAATCTGTGAACACACTGGGTATTCCCAGTATTATTTATTTGGTGTTACCATCTCATCATGGTAACTCTGTTTGGTGCTGGTTATTGAGAGTGTAACAGAGAGCCATAAGAATTAACAGAAATCCACAAAACATGATATGAAAGGAAAGGTAGGAAAAAAGTGGGATCCGTTAGCATAAGAAAGGATGATATTGTCCAGAAATGAAGGGCCAGGATAGTCTTCTGCAGCAGGAGCAACCTGCTATAGCTGAGCTTACCACGGACAAGTGACATCATACTTGATGCTTCAGTACTGCTTCCAGATCTACAATATTTTGAAAGGAGTGGGATCTTGACTACAATATTTCAAGTGCCAGGCCATTTCTCATAAAGAGCACTAGATATTCCTACTGCAGCCAGAGGTTTATTCTGTTCTTTGAGGACTCTTCTTATTTTGGGGAAAATAATAAAGGCATTATGCATGGGCAGCAGAGGTGTAATGAGAAAATAGAGAGCAGAGTCCCAACAGTTGGTCTTGCCTCACCCATTCTGCCTCTTCCGCATTGCTCGAGACTCCTTTGCTTTTGTTGGATCAGTAAATTTGACAGCTGGACAAACAGGACAGTCTGTTTCAGGAAGAAGCTTAGGGTACAGCACCTAATAATGAAGAGCAGAGCAGGTCTTGTGATGGCAACCAGGGTCGGCCAAGTCCAGATCACCAGAGAAGCCTGTAGTGAGGAGGCAAAACTGAGATCAAGCTGAGATTTCAAGTTCACAGTTCAGAGCCAGTGTCAATGAGACACACAGCCAGGCACAGGCGCACCTACAGTGTAGCTCAAGGAGGGTGGCAAAGGTGAATGCCTTAGCTTGAACAGAGCTCCTAAGCTATGAGAACCAGGCCCCTGCTTCATACAGCTTTTTCTCACCCATCTCTTTCCACAGCAGTGATCCAAGGTTCTGCAACGGCACCAAATTCAAGCTAGCCTACCTCCTGTGGAGATCAGTATGGGGTCCTTCCAGTCCAGGTACAAGTGTCTGTTATTCATTTGCCACTCCCATTTGCCAACTCCCAAGCAGTTCCCCAAAATAATAGACTCATAATGTATTTTAAAGCACTGCCATGCGCTGATGTCAGAAATATCACTGATAAGCCACAGTCTTAGGAAGAAAAATCCCAAATATATATTGCCACCTTCAGCTACTGGTTTTAACTAGCTCATAATCTCAAGGCTATGGCCATGAGGAATGAGGGTGTGCTGGCTTTTGTTTTGTAAAGCAGATGAGGAGCAAGATTTCCAATACTCTCATTTCTAGCATCTGTAGGCTTCAGGGACCACATTTTCTGACACTTTTTTTTTGTTGTTGTTGTAGGCTCCCATAAGCTCTGTGAATGCAACAGAAATTGTGCCACCTTTTCTTGCAGCCCATTGCCCACATTAAGCTGCCCACCAGCAAAGGACCACCAGAGAATCTGATCCAAAAAGTTCAGTATTTTAATTACAGTCTCTACATGACTACTGAAACCAACATTTTTTCATAGTTAGCTATGAGGAAAGATGTTTGGCAACACTTGAGCCATCATGCTGAAGTGTTTGACTATAGCCTTGGTGACACAATTGGCCCACGTGTGTGAGGAAGTGACAGCATCAGCTAAGACTGTCACACCACTGACCCTACCAGCAAGTCTGACAGTTTTGGAGATTATAATTACTTGATCATCTTTGTCAAATGCTTTCACTGACTCATGGGTTATAGACTATGAGGTAGTGTCTCTGCTTTCTGGATCAACTTGTCCACTGGGGTGGCTAAGCCAAATGGTCAGGGGAAGAATCTGCTTAATTCTGATTGTTAATCTCTTTGAATCCCACCCTGTTCGTGGTCCACCCTGTTTTCCTTTCCTTTAAGAAAGTCTCTGAAGAGCTGTCTCTTCTGGGCAAGCGAGCAACAGTGGCCAGTCTGTACAAAAATGCCTATGACTTGGGTAGGGTATGCTTTTGCAATCACACCCTGCCCTTCAAATTAGGGTATTAAAAGCACTGAGTCAATCAGGGAAAAACATTTAATTAGACTCACAGAAAGCTTCTGTCACTGCTCTTGGATGAGCACCGTGTTAGCCATTGGGAGATCAAAAAGAACAAAAAGGAAACATATACAGGAGAACATGGATTAACCAATGTGGGCTTTCTGTGTCACATGTTCAGAAGTCTCACTCAAAATGGTACCAATTTTTTTTTTTTCCTCTGTAATGGCAACTGAAAGGACGTTTAAACACATAATTGTATCAGGCCATGTACTGACTTTGTGCAGAATCCAGCAGGGACTCCCACGACAAAGTTTCCGGAGTGGCCTCAAGCTACTTGGGATGAAGTTTGCCTTTTTCCATTCCCAAAACATCACCTCTGCTTTGAATACCTGGGGATGTTTCTGGTTGCCTGCTGGCAAAAAGGCACTGGAAAGAAATTTGTTAAATTAGCACTTCTCACTGCCAGAAAACTTTTTGACTGCAAGGTGGAAATGTGAGAAACCTCCCACTCTGCACACGGGGCTAGCATACTCAGCTGCTATGCTTCACTGGAAAAAATCTGCTGTAGTTTTAAACAGAAACCATAGAGGTCTGACAAAGCCCATAGGAGACTCCTGGAACTTTTAACCAAATTGTTATTGTATTTCTAAGCTGTTGGACTTCCACTGTAAGTCTGCATTATTCTTCAAATAAAGGCCCAATATTGACATCCAATTAAACTTCCCACTGAGTGGGATGGCCAGAAGCGTACAGGGAACAGAATAGGATCTCTACTAAAAGGGACAGGTAGATATACTTGCAGGTCCCCATTTTTCCAAGCAAGACTTTTCACCCACATTTTTAACCAGTTTTTTATTCTGGCAAATTTCTGGCTGGTGCAAACTTCACGCAGGATTAGCAAAACCTCATTTAAAAATCAAATTATATTTCTACCTATAAATAACTAGGATATCTATACTGCCTTTTTCACAATAGGAGAAGACGGTTGGTATCCTTTCTCTAGATTCATTCTCCAGGTGTCTCAGTCTTCAACACAACTGACACGATCAGACTTGTCCCAGGTTGTAGCATCTGTCCAGATTTAAGAAAAGATTGTAGCCCTGGACCGGGCACCAGAGCCCCATACCAAACATAGCAGTCTATCTTTAACCCATTCTGAGCTGTCATGGAGCTCTGAAGCAGACTGCCTCTCAAGTTCAGAGAGATAATCAACAAAAATTATGGTAACCAAAACACTGCTTGGCACACTGAATAAAAAGAAATAACACAGATATGTAATTTCACCAACAAAAGCTTCATTGTAGTCATTTAAACAGTGTGACTGTGAACCATGAGGTTGGAAGCAAACTACTTCAGTCAGTGGAAAGACTTTCATTAAGCTAAAATGGCTTTGTATCAAGCTTTTACTGGATGGAGCTCTAAAAAATTTCCTCCAGAAGTTCTGGAGACTATTTTAGTCTATTTAAGATGTAAGGAAGGAAACTAGAAAACAATAGCTGGCCAGACCAGCAGAAAATGCATAAATACAAGCAATTGAAATACAGTATGAGTTAAAAGTATGTTGGTATAAAGCTAAACTATGATCAGTATGCTTAACTGCAGCTTTTAGACTGCTCTCCAGTGGCTATTTAGCTGCACTGATTCATAGCACTCTGCATGCTTTGTGGTGCTTACTAAAGCCTAGGTGGGGTATTAGTGAAACAGCAAATTATACTTTGATTTCTAAAAAGATTCAAAGGTACAAAATATAAGACATCCCACTTTCATTAGAAGTGAAGTCTTTATTCTCTAACCTTTTTTTTTTTTAAGAGCAATTAGTTTGCCAAAAAGATGTTGGCTGTATTTTGAATTTAGATATCAGCAGTTATAATTTATTTTTAGTTAATTTACTAATTGACCTGTGCTCAAATTAATGTAACAGAAAGATTCAAATCAACGTAAACAATGTGCCTGAGTGATTCATTCTTTCACTTTGCTGGTTTTGAATCTCATTTTAACACTAGCCACATCTTTTTTTCCAGCTAGAATTGCAGTGATTTATATCGCTGTGTTAATTACGTGAGCCTTTAAACTGTGGTTTGGAAAACATTACATATCTGAGGTATTTTTGCAAATTAGGGGATTCATTAAAAAAAAAAAAAAAAAAACAACCAGGTCTTGTTAAGTTTATTTCCTAAGTGGAAACCTTGAAAGGAGTGCATGTATGAGAGAGAGAGCTGAACCAGGCCTGTGTTCGTGTGCATTCCTTCCCTTCATCTTCCCCCACTCTTCTCCATGGCAAGATACCAGTCATGTTGTGAGTCTTGTCATCTGTGTAACGGTTACACCTATTTACTTGCAGGATTGTATCCCCCAACTAAAACCTAGTTCTCAGATAATAAAGCAGAACATATACATATCAACATATGCATTTAGCCACATAAACAAAAATAATCGTTTTCTGTCTCTTTATCATTCAAAGATTGCTTGCCTTACTGGAAGCCAAAGCACAAGCTGTTTTAGTCAAATAAAAATTATTGAGCTCAACAGGGCAACTGAATAAAATTTAACAGCCTGTGACTTACAGGCTACACTATATGATCTAGTTCCTTTTGGCCTAAAATTCTACAAGCCTGAACTGAATGTAAGCCCTGCATATTTTTTTTTAATTAGAACATTGGTGAGACTGGAGGGGACTATCTAACTTCAGCCATGCGTAGGCGTGGATGGACAAATGGCTGTATTTTCATTGGGTCAAAGACTGCCCTTCTGCATTGTATTTGGCTTCACTTTTAAAGTGACTGAATATCCAGTCCAAATACAAGTTGGCCCAGAATTAATTTCCACTTCCTATCCTTCCTTCTGCTGAAACAAATAAACTGGGATTCAGCTTGCAGGACTCTTGGCTTCACGGGCAGATCTACGAGGCCATTCGTTAACCAAAGAACACAGTACTTAGGGAGCATGCAAGATGCATCCAAAAATTCTTTGAGATATTAATTTGACTCAATACCTCCAGTCAAGAAAACTAATAATTATTTTCAAGTAACTGTTGCCAGACAGTTCCACAATTGTTTAATTGCTTATATGCTGAGTCAGGAGTGAGACCTGAGAGACGTTTCAGAGATCCCCACAGAGAAGAACATGAAAATAGATCAAAGTGAATATTGGAATACAGACTGTATTAGTTGCAAGTGTGTCTTCCAAGTCCAACTGACACAGCAGAAATACTGGCAATAATGATATGTGCCTGTTAAGCAGCCATCGGAACTCAGCTTCCTACCTTGGTCTGGTCAGCTCTTGAAATCTCATTTCCGATTCCTTTGCCCAAAGACTGAAGAGAACTTACTATGTGGCAGTCATTAAGCATGTGTACTTTGGCCAAAAGGCAGAACTTGCTCAATGAAAAGTCTGCTCAAAATTTAATGAGATTCCTTACTCATGAAGCACTTCATTAATGAGTGATCCACCTGTTTAGTAATAAACAAGTGAAGAAAATGTTTGAAGAACTGTTATCCATGACTCAAGCTGATACATGCCCTCTACTCTATTCTGAAAACTTCTTTGTTAGAACTGCTATCAAATCATATTGAGGGTGTTTTAAACTACACCTGAGCGTGGATTCCTTTTATTTTGTATAACCTACCTGGAATCATCAGGAATCTTTTCAGGGGTAATCCTGCAATTCAAACAGAGTATCTCCCATTTACTCTACTTGTTTTCCAAGCCAAAACAAAGAATAATTAGAAAACTTACAAGTCCTGTCAGAGAGATAAGGCAGCTGCAATTTTTAGCATGGAGAGAATGCTAAAGCTTTCAGTTCTCTAAGTAATATTCAAAGGGAACAGAAGAAAGCAGATAGAAGCTGTAACATAGCCAAGCTACAATTTCTGAAGCTTAGAAATTTCTACCACTGGGGAACGTGTTTCCACCCTGGCTGCAGCATACCAGTCAGCAAATTATCTGCATGCAAATTTGAATTCAAGCCAGCCTTTACCACTATCACCGAATAGCAGCAAGCAGGTAATATCCTTTCACTTCCTGATTTTTATCTCCAGACCATATTCCCTTCCTCCTTGCACTGATATCTCCTTCCATGCAAGCAACCAGCTCTCCCCTGTGCCTGCAATCTTCCTCCCATGTCGTGAGTGAGGCACCTACCTTGTCCTGCAGCCTGCTAGGTTGGGACATCAGCAAATCTGCAGTTCCCCTGGTAAGTAACTACAAATTGCTGTTTTCTGTGGGAAAATCCAACTTGCAGTACTGCTTGGGATGGACATTTATTTTGTTCATTAAATCCGTCTTTCACCCTCAAGGCAGATACATCATTCCAGCCAGGACTGTATCTCCTGTTAGCAGACAGAGGATCTATGGTTGTTTCTGTGCTGTGGTCTCCATTGCTGCTCTACCACTGGAGAAAGAGAAGTTCATCCTAACGTCTAATCTTAACGCTCCTTGTTGCTGTTTAAATACTTCTCAGGCTAACCTGCATAGACAGAGAGAAGAGATTACTCCCTTCTTCATTGGAACAGCCTGTTATGTCTTCAGACTTTTATCATACTTTCCCTCCTTTAGAAAGAACAACCTCAGTTCTTCCAAGCACCTCTTACAGATGTTGTTTTCTACAACTATTTTCAGTGAAGATAATTCAGGAAACTACAACTCAGGCAAATCACGTTGTAGTAACATTTCCAAAACCAAATTCTCATCAGTCTTTCCTAATGCCAAGAAGAGAAAAGGATCACACGGTGTATATTACAAATTGTACCTGTATTTCTGGAACACAGCAGCATGTCTTCCTACCATACAATACCACGACATATTGGTTCTCACACAGTATATTGTCAGCATGTTCTCTCCAGCCCTTTCTACAGAAATGTCCCTTGTAAGTTGCTTTTTGTTCTACTTTCTTTTTCTGATGAATTCTGCCTGATGGTCATATCTTGCACTTACTTAAGTATCATCCCATTTTTTGTCCATCACTGCAATTTGTTGAAGTTGCAGTGAATTTTTCAACCTCCCCAGTAATGAACACCTCCCCCCCTTCCTGCCATACTTTGCTTTCACTGGAACATATACTTTTTAGTGGTGCAAATTTATTAGGGTTGTGTAATGTACTGGAAAGCAGAGCAATGACAGCAGAACAGCAAGACCCCAAGCTACAGCAAGTGAAGATATGCTCAAATACAAAAGCCATGGGCACAGAAATAAAAGAAAGAAGCTACTACTTTCAGAAGGCCCCAGATACACAGAGATACCCTGATAAGATACCCTCACTTCCACAGACAACCCTTAAATGAGGTCTGGGAAGGAATGCATCCTGGCTCAGTTCCTTCTGATCGCTCAGGTACATTGCTTGCACCTGAGCTCACCTGGGCTGGCCCTGCCTTGCCACCAGGTGCTCAATCACTGGTTGAGGCCAGTGGATAGTGGAAACTTAGCATTTCTACTACAGATTCTATTTAATATTTTTGGTTCTAAGGCTGATCCCTATCAAAACTCAGTCAGTACAGTTTCCTAATCTTGATGGTCAGCCTCTGAGAACTGCTGTCCAAGTCTAGTTTTCTACTAGGGAACTTCTGGTGCTATATTGCTAAACTTTTCAAATCATCTTGATTATTATTATGTAAGATAACTATAACTGCACTTTTACACCAAAAGCAAGACTTGTCTCTAACTTCAAGAAAGTGCCAAGAATGCCATCTTCAAATCTACCTGATAATACATTAAATATATAAATGAATAGCTTCAACCTCAGTAGCTGTTTGGTTAAACTGTTGTGGAGTCTCAGAGGATCACTGAGGTTTGTGGGTACTGATGTACAGAGATAGTGTATCTGTAATTTGCAATCTGGGTGAATAATGTGCGACTAATTATTTCATTTTTAAGAGAGTTCAGAGGATAACCTGGAGACTTGACTTTCTAGATTATAGCTAAACTGAAACTGAAAAAGAAGTGGATATAAAATATCTAAATTCTGTTAAAAATCAAAACTGTGTGCAGTTAGCCATGAATAGACTAGGAACCATAATTTTTGGAGGAAATATGTAGCAGCTTCTATGTGTGTTCTGAAGTAGCTCTTGATATGTATGCAGGAACATATTTTATTCTTAATTTAAAAAACACACATTGTTCAGTATAATCCTTTCTATGCACCCTTGTGAATAGTACTGAGATAAACTATTCTGTTTAAATCAGAATTTCATTGCAAAACAATATATCAAACTCAAAAGCTCAGTAAGTAGATTTTTTTCCCCTTCAAAATATGCCTTGCCTTTAAAGAACCACATTGCAGAAATATCAACCCTTACAATATTCTACTTTTTATCCACATAAAGTTTGAAAAACACTGAAAAGAGTGGTGTAGCAAACTGAAATAATAATATTGCAGATGCAAACATTAAATGTGGATTTTCATTTTAAGGAGTCAAAGAAGCAAGCTGCACTGGGAAAATGGGGGAAAAAAAGAAAATATGGTTACGTGGGAAGTTCTGAGATGCTATGGGTTTCAGTGTAACAGAAGACCTTAAACATAGAGAGATTTTATATTAGCATCTTCTGAAAAGTGTAAGCGAATTTGTAGCAAACGATCAATTTTCTGGACTAAAATAACTCCTAGTAAGGCCAACAGCTGTAAGACTAGTAGTCTTAGAATCCAAAAATGACTTTGGGAAATGGAAATAACTTAGAGACTTTTTTAAAAAACTTGTATTTAAAACGTTAATAGACTTAAACCCAAACAAATGCATAAGAAAAGAGAGTCATAGAATCATAGAATGGCCTAGGTTGAAAAGGACCACAATGCTCATCTAGTTTCAACCCCCTGCTATGTGCAGGTCACCAACAACCGGACCAGGCTGCCCAGAGCCACATCCAGCCTGGCCTTGAATGCCTCCAGGGATGGGGCATCCACAACCTCCTTGGGCAACCTGTTCCAGTGCATCACCACCCTCTGAGTGACAAACTTCCTCCTAATATCTAACCTAAACCTCCCCTGTCTCAGTTTAAAACCATTCCCCCTTCTCCTATCACTATCCATCCATGTAAACAGCCATTCCCTCTCCCATTTATACGTTCCCTTCAAGTACTGGAAGGCCACAATGAGGTCTCCCCAGAGCCTTCTCTGCTCCAAGCTAAACAAGCCCACTTCCCTCAACCTTTCTTCATAGCAGAGGTGCTCCAGCCCTCTGATCATCTTAGCAGCCCTCCCTTGGATCCGTTCCTACATACTAAGATATTTTTACATTGTTTTATCTGAAAGGCTTATTAGGGTGATACAATCTCAAGTGATTCATAGCAAAGATCTAAATCGTTTTACAAAGGATTCCGGTTGATTTCTGTTCCACCAATTCTCTTCCTACCAGCCCTCAGCTTGCAGTAGAATTGCAGTAGGAGATGGACATACAACACACAGTCTCTTCGTGAATCCCAACACTGATGAATGACTGTGGAAATGCTGGGTCTGCTGCCTTTGAAGGGGCTGAGAGATTAGGTTTTAAAAAGCAGCTGGACTGTCTATGCAAGTTGAAGGCTTCCAGAGGAAGAAGATAGGCCTTTGAGGACTCCTGTTGTTTATTATACAAAACCACCACCGTGAGTCATTGCTGATAGAACTTCTCACTTCAGGTCTTTGTTTTTCCTGCCCCATGTCTTTCATATTTCTTCATTTTTGTACCTTCAGTGCAAATGGAAATATTATGCAGTACATCTTGTTATTTCAAGATTGATGCTAGAACAACATAAATGTAGAAACTGAAATTGCAATGTAGCCAGAACTTCTCTCATGGCAGGGAAAAATGTTTTCTTATACTTTGGCATGACACCTGTATCCCTCCAGATACAGAGATGCTGAGTTGGTGGGAGATGTTGTTCATATGTTTTAAAAGTTCTTGTTTTCTTCCAAGGGCACACATAATTTTGTTGTTTAGCTTCAAGGGATGCCACAACACCTGATAACGTGCGTAGATCTCTCTGCGCAGTAATGGGTGTTATGGAAATTCAGCTAGCATGAAAGAGAGGAGGTGCATTGGCAGAATTGTAGGAGAGTCCTGCTCTCTCAGCAGTGTAAATTACCATTTTATATTTTGTTTCAGTTCTTATTGTTTGTTACACTACTACTATGTCTCCTCTGTACTACTGAGTAACCTCAAAAAACAAAAAAAATTAAACTAAAACCAGAGCCGTTGAAACCTCTGCTGATCTGAGACCTTTAAGATGATATTTAAAATGTTTTGTTTTTTAATAGTTATTTTCTTTTCAGGTTTTGTTTGCTGCTGTAATAATTTGCTCTCACTTCTTATATCTGATCTGGGAGGAAACAGAGCTAAGATACACTCAGTGATGCCATGCTTTGCATCATAGGGTAGTGGCTAAATTCCGGCTTGCAGAATTGCAGCAGAATAGATTCAATTGCTAAGTGATCCCACCACAGCTCATAGATACCTAACCATGCACCCCACAAGCATAGAGGTATTCCAAACTAATGGCACAGTGGAAAACCTTGGTGCATGGTGTCTTCTCAGCCAAACAAAAAATGAGCAAGAGACACTGACATTACAGATTATTCATCATCACTTTCCCATTCTAGATCAGAAACAACTCTCCTTCCATTATTTCTTTCCTACCTTCCTTTTGTTACCCCATTTCAATTGCAAGTGGGCTTCCAAAAATACATCCAAGTCTTAAAACCAATCCTAAGACATTTATGTCCAACACTCCCATTTTTCTTTGCCCATGTAAACACAAGTGTTTTCATGTGTTTTTTTCTGTCTCCAACCATTCTGATTTCTTGAAAAATAAAAGTACCTTTGCCAGAGTGATAGTTTCCCAGTCATCAATGAGAGAGTATTGAAGTTGGATTAGCAAAACCCTGATAAAACAAGCCTTGGTGCCAAAAGCAATATATGGACAATGGAATACCTCTGAAAAAGGGCTCACTCTGGTATGTGATATAAAGGACAATATCTTAAAAAGTAGCAAAACACAGATAAGATTAATTTGCTCATTGCTTGGGAATTGCCCTTTCACAGAAAAAAATCTTCGTGTTGTTTTGAATGCTCTGAGATAAAGTCAACACTCCCACCTGCTGGTCTCTTCTAAGAAAGTTTTCTTGGTTTTTTCTTCTGTCATGTTCTCCTTTTTCTGTCATGTTCCTTTAATTTTCGGTCCTTTCTCCTTTCCATTTCTTCTTCCTTTGTTTGTTTTGTTTTCTTTCTCTTTTCAGATTAAAATTCCTATTTTCCATCAAAGGTCCTACAGATTTATACAGGTGAAAAGAACTGCTTTGGGAAAAATATAGTACTGGAAAATGCACATCCTCAGAATGATGTGTTTGTTCTTTTCTGACGCCTGTGAAATAGCTTACAGGTGACTTCCCATTGTGAGTGGAGCAGCTTCCGCCCAGTCATTGCATTCTGATAAAATGAGTAACAATTACTAAAAATGTATTCAAAGAAAGAGAAATCATCCTTTGGCTCTTTTTTTTTTTTCTTTTTCAAAATCGTTCTAGTAATGTAAAAATACCACTTGCCATTACTGTGAATAAAGAAAACAATATAATTATAACATATATAATATAATTATTTTTCATTTTATGACAGCTAGATCTCCCATCCTTCCTCACTCATAGTTCCACTGTCTTTCATTTATTCTTAAGGAACACTGGCAAATTTTAAGTAACACTCTCTGCCTGAAGAAGGCTGGCAGAACACAGACCTCATCCAATCTTATTTATTTGACCCCTTAGTTGACCCCAGTGACTTTGTTTTCCCTTGCAAATAGACACATGTCATGTAAATGCGGGCTATGAAGAATGTAAGGCCCCACAGGAATTAATTGCTTCCATTACCTCAGAGTCATCTGTTATGAATACATGCACTTTCATGATGTTGCAAGTTGTCCAAGCTGCAGACAATGAGTAATTCTTATTAAGAAGCTCAGCTCAGCAGAAATCCATTTTGCCAACTAATATATGCAGGATATCTCCCACACACCTCCTTGTGTACTGCTCTTAATGTTTTGCATATAGTAATTCCTCTGTGTTTGACTTTTCTTCACATTTGGTCTGGAAGCCAGTAAAAATACTGATATTCTTTACATAAGGGAAACACAGTATTTTACCTCAAAGCACTTTAACTATTTTCACTCTTTTATTTCCCCATTTCTGTAATACTTACAAAATTATAGATTATTTTTAGAAACGTGTGATGAGAAACAGAAACAAGATTTTAGAAGAACCTTCTAATCATTTATTTATAATTTAGCAGTTACTACTATAAATGGCTGCCTATTATTATTCGTGTTACAGTAGTGCCTACAGGTTCCAACCAGGAAGAGAAAGGGATGAAATGACTTGCCCAGATTTGCACTGCAGCCAGAGCCAAACCAGAGGCAGAACCCACAGCCCTGTCTCAGTCTTGTGGCCTAATCCTAAAGCTGTGCTGCTCCCCTCTCAGCCAAGAAGCACATTTTCATACATTTACCATAGACTGATCTAGTGAAACCAGCCACGCTCTGGTTTACGAACACAGTTGGAGCTGAGTGCTGATGCCTAATAAACTGTTTCATTTCGAATACTTAACTGCCAGTAGAAGGTGGCTTAATCACCTAAGAGCCAGATTTCCAGTGTCGTTTAGACATCTACATGCACAAAAGACCATTGACTGGGATCTTCAGAAGCACCTATTTTTTTCACTCCTTTGGGATAGTCATTTTTCAGGCTTGGGAGCTTGGTACTATCTACAGTCTGTCCCTACTGCAGGGACTGGAGTTTTAATAGTGAAGAGAGGCAAAAATGGGCCTTCATATTACAAGTATGGTTCACCTCCTGTGCCAGGGAATGATGGGGCTGCTGTGCTTCTGCACACCCATCTCCTTCACCTCATGGCTACCTTCAGTGCTAGCTTGGACTCTGCTAGAATTGCAAAGATCCCTATTTTGACAAGGTTACTTCATCTGCATTTTGCTGTTTCTGGGCCATTCCAACATCCTTGGAAATACCGTGACACCTATTTTCTACCATTCTATTTCCTATGTTGAACATTCCTGTTACACACTGGCTGGTTGGATGGATCAGGCAGACTGTTCCACTCCCATCTCTACCAGAAGTCCTAGTTTGTCTTATATAGGCCTGAATAAATACTACATGTGGAACGTGATACCCTTGTTTCACACTGGCAGCCACGGGAGCTGAAAACCAGCATATCCAGCAAGAAGTGCTCAGCTCTCAGTTCATAGACTCCAGTGCTTTTTCTCTAAATGCAAAGTGCATTTGGTGACAGTGCTTGGTCGCACTCAGATGGACTCACCCTCTAGTTCTCACTTCTACGTGAGAAGAATATGAGCCCTAGCACTGCTTATGTTGTGGAATTATAGCTTCTTCCTATTAAAATATTAGCTTAGTTTTGATGCAAGATTGGCATGAATTGTTCTATGACATACCTGCTTTTTATAAGAACCATTTGGATGCCAATCAAATTGTCCAGTTTTAACTCCAAAAAAAAAAACAATTTTGTGAACCTTGAAATACCAGTGAAATAAAACTGTTCAACTTTGTCAACAAGCAAGGTGCTCCTTACCTTCTTGACATCTATAACTTCATTGGTACACATGCAGTGAGCATTACTCTGCACCCTACATGGGACTGTGGGTTCAGTATGATGAACACATCCAAGAGCGAGGGAGGCTGTAGAAATAATATACGGTTTGTAAAGTGCTCCAGCATGAAAAGTATCTTAAAGGCAAAATATTTTACTTTATTAGATAGTCCTCCAGCTGTATTAATAAAATATTGGTTAGAAGTGTTTATACATATAAGATTTATCATGGTAAGACTGATTTCAAACTCACGTTTATTGAAATGAAATCAGTCATGCTGTCAATCCACATTCATTTCCTAGAATTTTATTTGAAACTGACAGACTCTAGAAACACACATTTCTTAGCCAGATATTTCCTTCATGCCAATTTGAGCCTCAACATCTCCACTTAGTTTTTTGGCATTGTGAAAAACTCGAACATTTCTGACCGTGTCCTGTGGTAATTCAATTGAAAGGGAACCTGTGGCATTCTTCAACAGAAAGATGCTTGCCTGGCAATGGTTTCTCATTCAAGGAAACATGATAAAAGTCCTTAGCATGAACTACTGCTGTACAGTTGGCCTCCCTGCTCTTCTGCTGTATTACAAGCTTTTAGTCCAGGACTTTGAAAATGAAATATATTTTGAGATGTGTATATTCCACCGCAATCCTTTCTTTGTGAAACCACAAGGTTTTTTTTGCTTTTAACTGCCAAAACCCAGAAAAAAAAGTTCTGTGGTTCAAGGAAATCCAGTCTTTACAGCACAAGCATGCACAGTTATGGGTCACAAACAACTTTAACTTACTCTTTCATCGATTTTTTTGAATAATTGATGCAGTACCATACTTGTGGCTCTAGATGAAATACAGCCATTTTTCAAACAAACTTTTTTTTTAATATCCCTCTCAGTTCCAGTGAATCTAAATTACTGTATTTTTTCTTACAGATTTTAGGCATACCAACTGGGATGGCAAGTCTGTTGTCATTGAAATGCTAAAACAATGTGGAGGAAAAAAAACCCGAACACTTGCAAATATTCATTTTTAAAAACCCATTCAGTTCTAAAAAGAGCAGTGCTGATTGCACTTATTCTTTTGGAGGTATTACACAGAAAAGACTAGAGACAGTGAAATTAATTTTTGGAATTGATATATATGAAATTGGTTAGTCTTAAATCTAACAAGGATGTCCACCAGTTTTCTGTAAACAAACATGGTAGGTATTATTTCTAGACAGGATATGTTGAGTTTTATGCATGTGAGCATCTGCAGGGGCTCATTTGTTAAACTGGCTAAGGTGTAAAAGGCTTTAATGACCCCCTAAATCTCCTCTTCTGGTTGTCATGGTGGAATGTCTTCCAAGGTCAGTCTCCCAAACAAGCAGGTTCACTCGTATTGTAAACAACCATATATCAGACTGAATGATAATTGCCAGCGGGCTCTGAAACAGAGCTACATTTATCACAACACTTTCTTGTTGGGGTAATACAGGTCAGATACGCTTGCTCATGGACACATTAGACTTGAGTTTTCCTGAGTCTCTGCATCTTTCACAGTGGTCTTGTTTTCCCATTGTATTTGCTGTCTGGACAGGATGTTCTACCAGAGGAAGTGTTCCTTGTGGAAAGACGTCAGATAGTTATCCAACAAACCCTCATCACTGCTAACTACCTGGCAGGCACAAGATTGATTTATGTATTTAGATACGAGCTTATGTTGGTTTTACTGCTTTGCCTCATAAAGAAAGCAGTAAGGCTTAAAAGCTGCTGACTAAAGCAGGCAATAATGCAAATTTCCCTTTGCACAATGAATCATCAGGTATTCATTTTGTATGTAATTTTGAATGTAAGAAACATTTAAAAGGGCATGGCTGGTCAGCAAGGTTAATTAATTGCTATGTTGGCGGACAGCTTTGTTTGAGAAGGCTGGGATGCTGTAATCATCTGAGACTTCCAAGATTTTGATGAGGAAACAGGTCATCAAAAAAACCACAGGATTTTTAATAAAGCAACTGATAAATAAGAGGGCTGAAGAGATGGGGCAGAATTTTCTTAGAAATCTAATGTAATTACCAGTAATCAGAAATATGATATATTAAAACACATAAATGTTTTGGGTTAGTTTCCTCAGAATAATCTATTTTAGTGTGTATGAAAGCAAATGTTAGAATACCACAGGCAGCTTTTAAAAGACTTCTTGGTCCCTGGGCAGAGTTCTGGCAAGCAAGGGGAAGCTCTGCTTGATCACACAGCATGTGTTATGAACTGCATTTGATTTTATGGCTTTCCAAAAAGCTGTCCAAGAAGGAGGTTTTTTTCCTCCTTTTGCAAAGGGGTCTCAGCCATCTTAGTGTATGTTTTTCCTCACCCAGTTGACCCAGGCCAGGGAGATATTTGCCAAAAGGGTAAGCAGCTCCCAGAGGCAGTGACTAGAGTGCAGAGCTGGCTGGTTCAATTTGGAATAGTTGGGCTTTTGCTCACCTCTTTCATCAGGGATCCTCTTTTTCTTTTTTTCTTTTCCATCTCCTATTTAAAATTCTCTTCCACTCTTCTTTGTTTCTTTATTATTGCAGCAACTGGATTTGCCCCTCTATTATGGTACTGGCGATGTAGAAAAGCATCTTCCAGGAAGGCAACTTCACTTACACTTCTCAAGCATTTGAGAAAATAAGCAAGTGAAAACACAATATGCAGGCTATGCTATCTAAAACCCTGCACCTTCTGCGACTGCTGTAAGATGCCAGATCCTTCAGATCCTTTTTGAGATATCTAAGATCCATAAAACCAAAGCAGGATCTTCCACCCAAGTGAGTCCCTGTGGATGAGTGTTACCAGAAAACTACAAAATTACTACAAAGTTACTACAAAATTCACCCAAGCTGACCATGAAAAAAGAGAGACTTTACTTGTTACGAAAAACTTGGTACCTGCTTAAACAGAAACTGCTGAAATGCTGGGTGACTTTGATAGTGGCATTTGCTCACGGTTACCTGTATGAAATTTCTCTTTACCACATCCCACACCACTGGATTCTTATTCTCCTAGCACCCAGAAGACTGGTTCTCATTTTACAGGCAAGACACTGGCATGCAGTATACAACCCCATGCATATGCATCCCGTTGTCCCAGTGTTTGCCCAGAAGGGAACACAGGCCTCTTGGTGTTCACGAGGTTGCACGTGGACCAGATCTTTCTCTTGTGTGTAACATAAGTGTGGTAACGTAACCTCAAGCACCATTCATGGTATGTGTGGAAAAACCAGGCCCACGCGACCACAAATAAAAATGGTTTTGCTTTCAGAAGGAGTTTCAAATGGAAATATTTTAGAGGATAATTCTTTGATATGGCTTCCATTACTCAGCTCTGTTTGTTATTTTAAAGCAGAGTATATTTGAGAGTTTATGCAAATAACTTGATACAGATGGAAATTAGGAAAATAAAATGCAAGTATTTGTTGTTTGGCTTTACATCTCATGTTTCAGGGGAAATTTTACCAACACATAGGTTTGTTAGAGAACCCCAAATGAAACAAAACTTCTCAAAGTTTTATGAGAAACTCTGAAGGCTACCCTTACTATAGCAGTGAAGAGTGTGCAATTTTGTACAGGCTCTGAAGACGCAATTCCTGCAACACAGTGTGTCTACTGGGTATTTACAATACCTCAATGCTTATCTTCTGAGACAGCTTTTGAAAAAGTACTGGTGCTTACATGGTTCTGTTATGTTTTTGATGTTACACTGCCTTAAAAACTGGAACCAAGGGGAACTTCTTCCCACGCAACTACACTTTAAAAAAAAAGTACCAGAAAGAGTGGAACATAGCTGTTGTTCTTTGCCACAAAATGTCAGCTTCATCAGCACACACCATCAAATCACTTTATTATAGTTCTGTGGTGTGGGAGTGTTGTTTGTCATTTTGTCATTGTTTCATTGCAAAGCATTTTCCCTCAAGCCCTATTTTCACCATCTGTGGTTTCTGCAAATTCTGGAGTATTCAGTGTAGGATTTTGTATTCGTACCAAGATTGAAATGAAAGTGAGTAATACTATTTGTTTTGCATTGCTGCATCCCAAACACTTTCAGACGTCTCATGTAATGATAGGAACTTCTTAAAGGCAATACAGGTTACTTCCCAAAGATTTATAATGTTTTCAATGCATTAAAAATTATTTATTTCAATGTTTTCAGTTTTAAATTTTTTGTTGAAGTATGCTTGGCTTAGGTCTTTGAGAATAGTGACTTTTGGGTAGCTAGCCAGACAACATAATAAGCACCAGTTTTGAAGGTCAAATCACTTGGAGGACACAAAAATTCAGTACTCATTGCCCTCTATGGTACACTTACAGTGCATAATCTAAATAAAAAACCTTTGTAAATCTGGATTGTTTCCTTAGACCCTTAACAGATTTAAATATATCATATTTGTATAATATGATCTGCCTAAGTACAAAGACCTATACCTCACAATCAGATAGAATCTCACTGTCAGAATGGGAGGAATCCTCTTGCTGTTAAAGTCAATTTTAAAAATTCCCACTGGTGTTGGTGGTGCAAATTTATATCACCAAGCACTCTTTAGAGTCACCTGAAACAGCTCACTTGTGCTATTGGGAATGACACCATTTATGGGAATAGTCCAAAGACTCCTACGCAAAATGTCATGGCTTAGGAATGAAAGTTCAATAAATTGAGCTCAACTAGGGAGCTGGGTCCAGGAATTTGGGCGCCCAATAAAGCCAGTCCTGGATTAAAAAAAAAAAAAAAGAAAAGAAAAGAAAAATAATTTAAATAAATGGATCCTGCTTCAGCTAGGTGTGCAGACTGTATAAATCTGTGGGCTGTGTCTTCTGGATATCTGTATTTCTTGCCCCTGACAGTACAGGCTCAGGAAGCCAAATACAGAATGCTGGCCTTCCACTTCTGGATCTGTCAGTCTAGTCTTATGCACCAGTGCTGCATGTTGATATCAACTTCTACACATTTTTTAAAGTGCGCAGAAAGAAGACAGTTTCCTAATAGCTTATTTTGAAAAGAAAGAAAACAGATGTGTCACCCAATTCCTGACAAGCTGAAGTTTTGTTCAGCAACTCTCTATTGAATTGACAATGCTCTACAACTATAATTCCTCACAGCATAAAATACAGCATACACAGACTCTCCTCTGTCTGCACTTCTCAAACAAAACCACAGGGACATAAATCCTGCTCTCTGGAGGCTGGATAACAGCTACTGGACTCTGGGCTCCTTTGAGAGCCTGGCATAACACAGGCAGTACATGCATGCTCATATATGCATGCACACACGTGAAACATGAAAGCACCTCAACTTTCATTGATTGTTTCCACTTTCTTTTTTGCCTACCGGGTTGCATTTTCTATGCTTGCTTTTTACTTTCTCTATAGTAGAAAGGGTAGACAAAGCACACAGTACAATGGCGAATGATGCAGAGTAGTGTGTAAAGTAACAAAGTTACATTTCAGTATATAGGACTGATGTGTCACATCTTAGGTAGCTTCCCAAAAATAGCTCAGTGGGCTATGAACCATCACAAGATAATGGAAAAAAATTACACAGCAACTTGTAATGCCAGCAAAACTGAAAGCATGTCATCAGTGTATACTTAGTAGTTATTTATAAAATCTGGGAATTTCCACTTTCCTTATTTCATAACAGATCTGTCTCTCTGAATACCTCACGACTGAATGTTGAGCACCACAACTTGCTGAGGAGTATTTACTGAAAGCAAGCTTGATCCCAGCCTGCCACTGCTCACAGGTGACTGCAAACTTGGCGCATGACATGTCTCCAAGAGAAGCGTACCTGAGGAGCTCTGCCACAGGCTGTGATCCCCTCGTCCACAGATGCATGGGTCCTTTTCAACTTCCCTTCCAGTTCCAGCCTGCTGGTAGATGAAGCAAAAATTGCTCTGATGAACGGTCAATTGAAATTTCCCCCAGTCGTTGGTCAGTACATTTAAAGAATTACTACAGTAATTATATTTTATGAGTATGAGTCATTTTTCTGTTTTTAAAAAAGTACTTCACTTTACCCATCTCTTTTAGTACATTTCCATTTGGTGTGGTTTGGCTGCATGGAGAAATGTGGCAGCTGGTTACTTGAAAATATTTAACAAAGCGCCAGATTCCTCAGCTCTGGCATACCTGTGGACCACATATATGGACATAATTGCAAACATCTGTCCATCCACCCATGTAACAGCGAAGAAGAGTCATTTAAGAAAAAGAAGGCTCAAATAGTCAGCTTTGAGGGTGAGGAACTGCAGAACTGCCTGTTTGTATGTTATTTATTCATATTACATTACCAGCTAATGGCCTTCAGAGACAAAATCCTCTGTCATTTTCACAGGAGGGCCATGGCAATGATATGTATTGTAGTAATGAATGTAGAAATGAATTGTAGTACCACAATATATACTCACTAAACCAAACTGTGACAGGTTACAACAAAAGCATAAACACTTAAAGAGCCTTATTAACAAACTAAGGACTTTCTATGGCATGAGTGAAATCAATAAGAGGTAAAGACAAAAAGCCTTGGGTTTGCTCCAAAAAACATGTATCTCAAAGATATGTCAAGAATCACAGTATCTATAACCCTAAGCAGAAAACCATGGATATCAGGAAGAATTTATTCTCAGAAAGACTGGTAAGGCATTCAAATAGGCAGCCCAGGGAGGTGCAGAATCACTGTCATTGGAATCACAGAATCATTAAGGTTGGAAAAGACCTCAAAGATCACCCAGTCCAACTGTCCACCTACAACCCAGGAACATGTGGATGTGGCACATGAGAGACATGGCAAGTGGGCATGGTGGAGATAGGCTGATGGTTGCACTTGATGATCTTAGAGGTCTTTTCCAACCTTAATGGTTCTATGGTTCTATGGTTCATTGTACCATGGAGATACTTGCATGAAGAAAAATGCAGCTAAAACTATCTGAAATTATTCAATTGTTTTAGCAGTCAAAACTGAGACTCCAGTCTCCAAACCACCCAGTCCCCATGCAGAGGATGGTGTACCACTGATGAGTCCTGGCCAGTCCTGGACTGATTTAACTTTTATCCAAGGTCATGCTGACCCAGGCATCTTGACATCAGTGGGGGCCATTCAGCCATGACGAGAGTCAGATCAGTGTTTTTTTTTACCTTCCAAAACTGGTTATATTTATTAGCCTTATTAAAATTCCCTTTAGGAAACCAGTTTTTCACATTACCTTGAATGATGTAAAGGCCTGGGCTAAAATCCTTTGAGCTTTAAGATGCTCAGAATCTGGATCCACAGTAACATTTGATATATTATACTCTCAACACTTGCATTCATTGGCTGTCAAATTGAAATCACCTCTCTCCTCTAGCCCACCTTCTCCCCTCCGCCAGTTATTCACACAGGGAATGGAGGATTGTTGAGCTCTGAAAGGCCTTCAAGAACTGGTAGACAACTGGTAGAGTCAGTCCCATCACTCCTTGAGCCATGTGAATGGAATATTCAAAAGTGAGAGGATTCTGGAGAGATGATATGCTCAAATTTGAGCAGGGAGGAGACAGTACTGCCTCCTCCAGTCTCTTAGTTCTGGTTCTGTAAACAAGACGTGGAAAGGGTAACAGTACAGCCTCAAGGCTGCTCTGAACCTCATCTGGATTGTGTTAGTGTATAAGGAGAGCCTGAGGCACTTTCTGTCATTGGAGCAAAAGTCCTCCTTGCTCAGTTAATTTTATACATGCTGTATATATATAAACTTCATAAATACTGAGAAGATGTTGCTCATATTTATTTCTTTTGGTGGAAGACTTTTCCCTTTCCAGAGTGCTGCCCTATGGATCTGACAGACAAGAGCTGACTTTGGTGCTTCTGAGACAATTCAAGACCGCACAAAGTCCAGCTGCCCCAGGACTTCTGCCCCTGCCAAGGAGACAGCAGAGTGGAGCACTCCAGTCACATCACAGCAAGGATATTCAAGCCCCTTCATAGTGAGACTTCATCCATATGCAAATATTTTAAAGTTAAAACTGAGTGCTCAGTTTACTACATATGCAACTAATCCACAATGAATTGCTAAGCTAAAGACTTTTTTTTTCCTGCCCACTTATTTTCTTCTTGTTAGACTCCAGGTTCTCCCAAAAGGAAAGGGACATCTGTCTGAAGAAATTTAGCCTGGCAGAGAAGAGGTTGAGCACATGGCTTTCCTTGCTGTACCTCAGGCTCTGTAGAAAACCATGCAGGTGAAAAAAGATCTGCAAGCACAGCATTACAAGAAGCAGAACACACAGTCGCAGCTTGAACAAAAGTTAAACTGAGAATGTGGTACGGTGTTTGCTCGGACTGATAATTTCTGACTGGTGAAGATCTGAACACTTCAAATGGATTTCACGTGCTGTTCCGATGTACCTCACAGTGATTTACAACTGATACTATACTGTGATACTATTCCTGACTGTACAGCTCCACAAGCGCATAATATATAAAATCTGCACCATCTTAAAAGGCAAGTTGAAAATCAGCTCTAAGCATTTATTTTGTGGCCCAACTTCCAGCCTTTTTTTTTTCCCCAAAGCCAAAATGCTGTCTCCCATCATAAATGCTACACATAAATACTGTATAATGGGAACAAGGTGTCAGCTGGAGGCTTGCAGGCTCTACCTAGCTCTTGATATTTTTTTCCTATTTCTTGACTTATTGCAGTTGTATTATCTTTAGTCTAACTGAAATGTAATTTTCCAAACAGATGCAGTGAGACCTAGATCTATATCAGACAAAGCATAACATCAGAGAGAGGGCACAAAAGCCAGGCACAGTTTGCTTCCAATCTGACAGCTTGTTTCTTTGTATAACTGAGCTTCCAGAATTGTCATTTCACTTTGCATAGAATGGCAAGACAGACATCACTGTCTGACTCATGGAGATGTGTTGTAAGAACTTCAGTAGAGAAATATTTGTACTTCTGGATAATAATGATACCTCTAGCAAGAATCATGCCCTGAGCATGGACTGGAGATATTCTTTTAGTCCCTCAGCATTGTTCCATTTATCTCAGATGCTTGCAGTTAATGAAGCAATGAAATCACTATCAACAATATGATGTCAACCATGGCTTAATTGTTAGTAACCATTTCATTAATAGATAGGGAGCAGAGAATTAACTGTAAACTCGGACATCCAGCTATTGTCTAAAGTCTGAGGGTTGGTGCCAATCCTCCTAGCATGTGTTGCTGTCTGGAAATTAACCTATAAAGTTACAGCATGAGAAAATATCCAAGCATGAAAGTGTATATACAGTTAGTAGCTCCTAAGGGTTTCACTGCAGGTGCAGTATAAGGAAAGCATCTCACCACATAGAACAGTGAAATCCAAATAGCTACTGAAAAGTCATTGAAGGATAGTTCTATGGTGGTGTCAGCACAGGACATGGATACCATTTTCAGAATTACAAAGGACAGAGCTTGGCCATCTTTCATCCAACAAGATTGCTAAACAGCCTTCCTTTAAACCAGTAGACAAATACACAATATGACATGGAAAAACCACTATTAGATACTTCTTTCTGACTACAGGTGTGCAGCTTGTGAACTAAAAAAAGTAGAACAGAAGGAATTGTCTCATGCTAAACCTGTTTATTGTACAGTGCATCCCTGTGCACTCAGGGTTTGTTAGGGTTAAGATAGCCAGTTCAAGTTTCTCTCAAGAGATAGGTGGTCAAGACGGACAGGGCTACCAAAGCATAGTCATCTGGCACAAGAAGCACCCAGGAGAGAGGCATCTGCAACAGGAGGGTGTGTGTGTGTGTTTCCTGGTGAGCTGTCTCGTTGCATGATGGTGTTTTGGGCTCAATTTTGGATGTATGGTGAAAGAGGTCTCCAATAGATGCCTTGGGAGAAAGACCACTCCGGAGCAGGGACAAACTGGTTCCTCTCAAGTGTAGCTCATTCCTTGACTGTCTTAGGGGAACTCTCTGAAAGAATTTCCAATGAATTATGTGAGATCAGCCTGGGTTTACTGTTTGTTCTTTGGATCTATTATACTTATCTGAGTAAAAGCTAAATGCTTCTCTCCATAATTTTTTGCTCCCTTTATTTCACGCTTGAGCTTGTTCATCTGCTAGTGCTGTTGTCACTTACTCAGATGTTTAGTCACTCAGGAAATAAGGTATATAAAGGAGCAGGATAACAAATCTTACAAAATTGTGAAAACAACAGAAGAGTAGCTTTGCTGGCATCAAAGTTGATGTTAAATTTTTTTGATAGGCATTAGGATTGAGAAGCCTCCAGGTGACTTAGTCCGGTCCTTTGCTATGATATCATACATTTGCTTTTTGCCATCTCTCCAGCTCATTTAAGCAGCCTAAATGCCTGGGAAGGGTGTTTTCCTGTTATTCCAATATTTGACTGTGTAGACTGTTAGAAATCTGATTTCCAGCCGGAATTCATGGATGTTATATCCATATCATTCCCACAGTCTCTTGTAGAAAATCGCTTCAGCCTGTACTAACCGATGTATGCAAAGAAGCAACGTAACTGCTTCTAGTACATCAGTTACTGAGGTTAATGAATTAAATTCATTTGGGCTGTGTGGCCTCTAGAGAGCAGAGCCACACCATGCCACCGCTAGCTGGAGCCCTGGGAGAAACAAAGCTGCATTTTGCTTTGCAATTCAGTCTAGCTATTCCATCTGCCTTTTGATGTAACTGCAAGCTTTCGTTCCTCATACTGGGTCACTCAGAGAATTTACACTGCATTTTCTGTGTCTACAATCCTTTTGAAGTCAGTTCTCTATCTCCTTGTCCATTTTGCAACTGTGTGTCATCTTAAACACCTCTTCTTTGCACACAGCTCATTGGGACCGTATACTGCACTACAGATGAAGCCTTGAATTGTCTTATACGTGTCA